CTCTTTTACACTGTTGACTACCCTTTCTTCTCTTGGTTCTTTTTCCATCCATTTGACCGCTACTCCTTGGTGTCTTTTTCTGGCAGTTGTGGCTGTATCCTCAAGGTTCTGACTTAGGTCTCTTTTGTCTTTATGAGACCGTACCAACTTCCATGGGTTTAATTATCATCTTGGTATAACTGACTTGCAGACCTATACACCTAGCTTTATTCTCTCTCCTGAGCTCTAGTCTTGCCTTACCAAATTCTTATTGTTCATTTCAAACTTGATTTTCAAACTCAGCACATCCAAATCAGAATTCATTGTCTTTCCACCCAAAGCCACCCCTCTTCCTAACTCACTTGCCTCTGTTCCGGGAAACCACCATCCTTTCAGTGTCCCAGCTTTGCAACTCTGGAGTCATCTTTTAACTCCTCTCTTGCTCACTCCATCTATATCCAGTCAGTTTTCCAATCAGTTTTCAAGTCTTTCTGAGCCAATCTCACTTGAATTTATCCCCTCCTCTACTCACATGGTCACTACCCTTCAGGCCTTCATCAACTCTCACTTAAACTATGAGAATAAACTCTGAATTGGTCTATGTGCCTCAAAAGACATCATACTCTCTTCAGTCCTCCTCCCTTCATCCTTTCTCTTCAATCTATTCTTTGCCTAGGTAACCAAGTGAATTTTCTAAAGCACAGGTTTCACTATGTTAGTCTCTTACACAATACACTCCAATGACATAATTGTCTTCTTTTTTTAATTCAAATTTTATTTTTAGGTTTGCATTCTTTTCCTCCTACCTCCTCTCCTCCACACCCACTGAGAAAGCAAGAAAAATAAAACCTATTACGAACATGTACAGTCAAACAAATTAAATTCCTATATTGAATGTCAAAAAACGATTCCTTAATTTACACTTTGAGTCTATTATGTAGCATGTTTCATCATGAATATTGTGGAATTGTTGTTGGTCATTGTATTATTCAGAATTCCTACATCTTTTTTTTTTTTTTTGGCAAGGCAATTGGGACTAAGTGACTTGCCCAGTCACACGGTTAGTGAGTGTTATGTGTCTGACGCCAGACTTGAACTCAGGTCTTCCTGACTCCAGGGCTGGTGCTCTATCCACTGTGCTACCTACTGCCCCAGAATTCCTATATCTTTCAAAGTTATTTGTCTTTAGAACCTTATTGTTATTGTGTAAATTGTTTTCTTGGTTCTGCTCAATTACATTCACTCAATACAACTTGTTCAGCCACTCCCCAATTGATGGGCAACCCTGTCTAGTTTCCAATTCGTTGCCACAATCAAAAGAGATGCTATAAATATTTTTGAAATATGGGTCCTTTTCCTCTTTCTTTGATCTCTTTAGGGTAAAGACCTAGTTGTGCTATCATTGAGGTAAAGGGTATGCACAGTTTAATAGTTTTTGGGGCATAGTTCCAACTTTCCAGAATGGTTAGACCAGTTTACAATTCCAACAACAGTACATTAAAACAACTGTTTTCTTATAGCCACTCTAGCATGTCATTTTCCTTTTCTGTAAGCCTTGCCAATTTGATGGGTGTGAGGTAGTAGCTCAAAGCTGCTTTAATTTTAATTTCCCTAATTATTAGTGATTTAGAACTTTTTTCTCAAGAACATTTTTAATAGCTTAGATTTCTTCTTCAGAAAACTGCCTGTTTGTATCCTTTGATATTCATTTATCAATTGGTGAATGGCTTTTATTTTTATAGATTTGAATTAGTTCCCTATATATCTTAGAAATGAGACCTGTATCAGAGAAATCTGCTGCATAGATTACCTCTTCACCCCATTTTTTGCTTCTCTCCTAATTTGCTGAAATAATTGACTCCCATAGGTATAATCAAGTTACCCAACAAATATTTATGATGTGCCTACCATATAACAGGAAACACAAATATAGGGGATATCTCTATGACAAAAGGATTCAGATAAGGAGAGAATCTAGAAAGCATCTCACCAATTAAACTAGCCATTCTTCCAAAAAGATGAAGGCCCTCTACCAGTGGCATCCCACCCCACTATCAGAAATGAGGGAGTTTCTCTATGAGGAGGAATACTATATATATGGCTCCATAAATTCCATGAAGAAAAGAGTAGCAAGTGCTACAGTTGTCAGGAAAATATGCAAGACAGTTTCAGTTTCCACCAAGGACAAAAATGACAGTGATTGCAAAAGCAACTTTTCAGAAGACAAGGGGTTTGAATGAGTTGGGAGAATGGAGCCGTCCAAGACCTAAACAAGCTGAAAATATATATATGTGTGTGTACAGTGTGTGTGTGTGTGTGTGTGTGTGTATGTGTGTGAGAGAGAGAGAGAGAGAGAGAGACAGAGAGAGAGAGAGAGAGAGAGAGAGAGAGAGAGAGAGAGAGAGAGAGACAGAGAGAGAGAGAGAGAGAGTAGGTATGACAAATTCACTCCATCTTCCTTATCTATCCTCTTCTGTCTCCTGGCATCAGACTCTTGGAGCTTCCAATGCTGACCCTCCCAATATATTGTTGTGAATCTCTGGTTTTGAGTCTTCTTCCGTCTCTGGCAGCCCCTTCTTCTTCTGGCTCTTTCCAGAAAACTATTATGTTTGCCTGGCTTATACTATCCTAAGATTAATAGGCATGCCCAAGTTTCATTTGCACTGGAACTTCTCTGTTGACCCTTTTATCCTCACTTCTAGGACCAGGAATAGGTTCTACCCAGACTACAGACACTGTTCCACTGTGGTCTATGGCATGAACCCCACCTAAGGGCTGGGATGTGCAGGACACAGAATTCTCACCCCTACTTTCTGTATAATTAGGAAGCCAACAAAAATGTTTAAATAGTCTTAAATAAATCTTATATATGCTATACATTTGACTTTACCAACAAACTGTATAGTTATTTTTAACAAAAAAGAATATATTTTAAATTCTGAACTGTAATAATTTCATTGTTTTACTTTTAAATTTAAGATGTGCTTTAAAAATCAACCAAAACAGCTTCCCTACCTGAATCTCCAAAAATATTATTTCAGAAAAGTTAACATGAAATACTTAGAATAAATTTTTTTGGCATGTGTGTGCAGTTCAGTCTTTACCTTCTTTTTCCTATATATCCGAAACCAGGATCTGAAGGATTAATTTTTCTACCGTTTTCAGTTTTTAGACAGTTTCTCCTTTTAAATGATGACTCAAAAGATTCTCTCTCTTTAGCTAAAGAAGAATTTACTGTAGTTAAATAGATTAGCATTTCAAAAATTTCTGATAAATCTAGGTGTTTAAGTCTTTCATCAATTCATTGATGTGATTTTTAATAAACTCTTGTCAACAATTATATTTCATTCTTGACCCTGAAATTTATTCTAGCTTAATTCTTTTTTAAAAGTTTTTCCCTTTTCCCCCCCTTTTTTTCTTTTTTCTTTTGGCTAGGCAATCTAGCTTAATTCTTGATAAGTAACTAGAGGATCCCTATGTCATAGTCAGCTTTCAACAGTTACAGATTGACCTTAGTAATGAGTATTTAGAATATTTATGAGAAAAGGATAAAAGTGTGATCAGGAATTCAAGTTGGAAGGGACCTTAGAGTAATCTAATCTCACTTTACACATGAGGAAACTGAGAGCCAGAGAGTTTACATGACTTACCCAAGGCCATGCAGATATAGCAATAATACTGGATTTAGCAGACCAGGTCTTTTGATTCAAAATCTAGCATTGTTTCCGCTATATCATATAGTCTCATATATACCAATGCACTATTTAGAAAAAAGAGTTTCTAAAAATCTTTGTTACTGTATTGTTCTAAATACTATAAGAAGTTATAACAACTATTCCAAAATAATATTTTTATCTGTAACATATCTGACATGAACTCTATTGGTATGCATTTTTTTAATATTTACAAAAAGAGTTTAATAAAATAATCTGATTAAAATGAATGACATCTGATTTTATTTCAGGGAAAAATTCCTTATTATTTATCCTGATCTGCCCTGACTTTCCACTTTTCATTTTTTTCCCTTTCCCTGTCAATTTTTCCCTCCCTTCCCATCCTCTGTAGGTACCTAAAAGAAAAAAAAATCAAAATCAGTTTACCAAAGGAAGTACTCTGAGAACTATTTTCCCCAGTGACTTCAAAATAAAGACAAAATGCCAAAGTCAAAATAATAAAGTTTATTTAAAAGTTTAAAAATCATACAAGAAATTAAAAAATAAGAAATCAAACAACTATCCCATAACACAGTAAAAGCAATGACTGGGAAACAGGAGGAACCAGCTTACATTTGAGGAAATCTCTGTTCCCCTTTTGTAAACAGGTATTTCCAGTGGGAAGAAGTTTTATAAGCAGCAACATGATGCAGTGGAAGAGAGCATTGGACCTGGGAGTCACATGACCCTAATTCCAAGTCTAACCTCCAATATGTTCTAGTTATTAAACTGTGGGCAAATTCTTTCATTTTTCTGAGCCTTAATTTCCTTCTCTTTAAAATGGGAAGAATAATCCTTCTATTATCTGCTTTATTGAGTGTTGTGAGGAAAGTACTTTGTAAATCTTAAAGTACTATATAAGCATGTGATATTATAATAGCAACTCGGGCATGCTCTTCTGCTTTTTTTTGCAAATGAATAGCCTGGATTTTTTTTCCTTTCAAATGGTCCATCACACACACACACACACACACACACACACACACACACACACACACACACAATTTATTTCAAGAAAGGTTTACATAATTTGTTTTAAGATAATGCCATGGAGGGTAATGCAACACTAGCTCTTAGAACATTCTTTGGTACCTCTGTCAGAGAAAGAAAAAGAGGCTGTGCAGACTAACCCAGATGAACAATTATCATATTGTAGTCAAAGCTGAGCAAGAAATTCGAGCTATAATACATGTAAATGGAAATGATGCATTTAGCTAAGTACTATGGCTAACTCCTTTAAGCCTCTATAAAACTTAAAAAGAACAAGTCTAACATATTTAAATATTTTAGGAATGAAACAACACTTACAGTTGTAACAAAGCAGCAGGCCAGCTTCCCCATCTTCATACACATCAATAGCTGCAACAAAATTAACCTGTAATGATAATGGGCAAGGGTAGTGGGCAGACTGAATACTGACACTACTGAAAAGAGTTTTTGAATCAATGAGATGCTTAGTGTGGCCATTAATACCTACAGCTATCCCTTTGCATTACAGAAACTCAGGGAGGAATGAGTTCACTACTATCAGAAAACATTTACTGAATCTATGTGAGTGGGTGGTGATTAGGGAACACTGTGGGAAAAGACCTGAAGTAAAGCTAGGTCTTCACTTCAATACATCTGTCTTTGCATTGCTTCCTTCTTCCTTCTTTCCTACCTGGTACAGAAGAAGTGTTTTCCTTTCTTTCTTCCACCTGCATTTTCAATCCCATCCCTTCCAGATTTTCAGGAGGCTTTGCTCATGCCACTCTCCTATCTTTTCCACTAGTTCCATCTTTTTTCCTGAACTTTCTTGTCCTTTATAGCTATTATCCTATTAAACTTTCCTTTTCTTCGTGTAACTTGAACAGAGGCAGGGTGCTTCTGCTTTTTTTCCCCCAAATGAACAGTTTGCCTAAATTAGTTAAAATTGCTACCTCCTTTTCCTAATTACTTGTTGCCTCCCAACTCCCTATAATCTGATTTCCATTATTACGACTCTACTATAATGTCTCTAAGGCCACCAATGACTTCCTTTTAGGCAAATACTGATATTCCTTCACCACTCAATAGCAGTTGAGTCTTTTGATCATTCTCTTCTTGTAACTCTCCTCTCATATCTCTGACCATTCTTTGTCTCCTTTAGTGACTTCTTCCTTTCAAATTTATCTGTGTCTGTCAAGGACTAATCCTTAGACCTCTGCTCTTTTCTCTCTCTGTTTCCTCAAAGCTTTTTTTGGGTTTCAGATTTAGTATGTGTTAGAGGCAGGTCTTAAGACAAGGTCTTCCTAACCTTAAGTCTGGCCCTACAGCTGCTATGTCATACTGACTCTTTTTACACATAGAAACATAAGGTTAATAGAACACAAACACACACATGAACATACCTACACCTATAATAAAGGTATTAATAGTAATATAGATAAATAATTATAGCCTTAGGCAGAATGAGACAATTCCATAAGAAAGAGACAAAGTGCTATAGGAATTTGGATTAAAGGAGAAACCATTATAATTTGGAAAATTCATTCATTCAATAACCCTTTATTAATTGCCTAGTAACTCATGCTACATACTGAAGGAGATACAAATATAGTTTAAACATGGTCCTTGTTCTCAGGGAGCTTATAAGGCTTCATTGATAGAGGTGACATTTGTAATAATGATAACTGACATTTATATGGCATTGTATAATTTTACAAAGGGCTTTCTGTGAATTTTTTTCACTTTTCCCTCATTTGATTGTCACAGTAGCTCAGTTATGTATATAGTAGAGGTATTATTATCTCCATTTTACAGAGATGGAAACTAAGGCTTTGGAAAGTTAAGTATCTTACCTAAGGTCACACAGAAAGTGGTAGAACTGAGATTTGAGCCATGAGTGCCCTTTCCAATGTTCCGCCACTGTCTTTATGGGACCTCGAAGGATTTCACTAGGGAGAGTTTGGGGAAAGGGTATACCAAATGGAGGGAATGGCAAAAGCAAAAGTGAGGATGGAAAGTATCCATTAACCATTCCTTCTAAGTTCACCTCCTCTACAAAGCTTTCCTTGACATCATCAGCTCATATTAAACTTTTTATTCTTTAATTCCTTTGGCAATTACTGCCTGGGCCATACAACCAGCAACTATACGTTCTGCCATATTTTCCAACTTCTGATTTATGGATTAGTACTACCAAAGCCGAAGGAAGAACCAAGGTCAGACTAACTGGTAATTAACTACAATTGAAGATTTTGACAGAAAAGTGTCTAGATGTCTGCATTTAAAAAATTTGCTATACTGCACAATTTGACATTCGACTATATGCCATACTGTTAACTACTTTTCTCATGTAAGTGCACATCTCAACTTAACTTTAACCTCCTTATGGGTTCGGACCATGTCCTATACTTCCCTTGTATTCCCAGCACCCAACTCAGTAACAGGTACACAGTACTGCACAACAGTAATCATTGGTTGGTTGAAAAGTTTGGCTCAAAAAGATATTAAGGCTTCTCATTTTTCTTTCTAGTTCAGGAGAGACCCATTATAAAACCTACTTGGAAGTGCCTTCATGATATCATTCTCTTTTTTCATTCAGTGGCACCTCCATTCTTCAAGTGTTGCACTTTCTAAATTTTGGAGCTATTTTTGACCCTTCTTTTAACTAAGCCTCTCCTAGTCAAAGTCCTACAAATCCCATGTCTACAATATCTCTTATGTTTATCTTCTCTTCTATTCCCATTTCCACCCTTCATTGGGATTACCATAAGGGCTCCTACCAGTCTTATTTTCTTGCTCCAAACTGTCTTTCACATTACTGCCAGTATAATATTACTCATACACAGATCTGGTCATGTCATCTTTCAGATCAAAAATCTTCACTGGTTTCTTATCACCTCCTGAGTCAAGTCCAGGTTCATTTGCCTGACATTTAAGTTTAGCTAAGACTCCATAATTTGATGTCACCCTACTTTTCCAGACTTATCTCCTATTTTCCTTCCTCTCCATCAAATTGGATTGCCTCTCGAATGTGCTTTCCCACATTTGTGCTCTCCACACCTTCAATGTCCTTCCTCAATCCTTTTCACTTGTTAAGTTCTATCCAACCTGTAAAGCTCATTTCAAATGCTGCCTCGTCAGAAGCTGTCCCTCCCCTTTTCTGTCTATAATAAAAAATTAGTAAAAATTAATTTAATAAACAATTAGATGAAAATAAATTTATAAAAGATCCCCCTTGGCTCTCATGGAGAATTTTTTTTTGTACTTCTCTAATGCTTATTTCCCCTAATGTTGAGTACAGTGCTCTGTGCCCATAAGCACTTAAAAATATGCTGATTGAGAAAATTTGTATCTCTCATTTGTGGAGAAATCACTTCATTATCTTTCTCTAAAAGTTTTATATTTTTTAAGAATACATTTAAAATATGTTCTTAGGAAATGAGTACAAAGGAGAGCAGAGTTAGTCAATCTTGTATGAGGGCTGAGGCAACTAGTCATGTGTAGCTAAACATTCCGCTGATTAGAAAAGAGTTGGGAGAAGCTGAAAGACTTCTCAGGCAGAAAAGGCAGGTTATGGCTGAGAAGCTCCTTGGAAAAAAAAAAGATCATGATGTGCTTCTTATACAGGCCATTGATTTCATGTTGCCATGTGACTGTTCTTTCTATTTATGCTGAGCCACAAAGCAGGAGACAGGAGGGAATGTAAAAGGGCAAACTGAGATTATTCTTTAATAAGTTATGAACAAGACAGTAAAGTTCTTTTCAGTGAGAATGATCAAGAGCTGGATGGAAGCTGCCTGCAAGGGACCCAAAGCTGGCCTGAGGCAGTGAAACAAGCCTGTTCTACTTCTAAGAGAGGAGATTCAGAGCAAGTTAGTTTGGGACATCTAGGTAGTGCAGTGGATAGAGCACCGGCCCTGGATTCAGGAGGACCTGAGTTCAAATCTGACCTCAGACACATGACATTTACTAGCTGTGTGACCCTGGGCAAGTCACTTACCCCCCAATGCCCAACCAAGAAAATAAACAAAAAACAAACAAACAAAAAAACAGAGCAAGTTAGTTTTCTTAAGGATCAGGGAAGTATTAGGGTTAAACTAAAGAGTAATTGATAACAATCAAAGTTTAAAGAGAAAGGTACCTTGCTTGTGTTATTCACCAATATATAGCAGTTTTCTATGTATTATAATTTTATTATTTATTATTATATATTACCATTTATTATAATTAGTAATTCTAGTAAATATAATGCTTAGACATTTTATAGAAAAAGGATAATCAAAAAAAATTATGCTAAAGTTGCTGACTTAATTAACCAAGCATATAGGAAGCCATAAGGCCAAACTGTGGCTACTACTGCCTGCCTGGTAGTAGCTTATCCAAATGGTAGGGATAGGCTCACTGTTTATCTTGCAAACATCATTAAGTGATGGCAACTGCCATAACTTCTTTTTCCTCCTTCACAGGATAAAATGGTATTCTCAGATGAAAGAACCCAAGTGTTGCGAGATACTATAAGTTTCTAAAGCCAGAGCTAAAAATATCCAATTTGAGGTCACCACTGATGGTGATCTACTCTTCCCCAACTGTTGGCACACACCTTTAGTGCTCTACACTGAATTGTATGTGAATGTACTACAGTGCCCCTGCCTCCTGCTCAGCTATAGCACCCAAGGAATTGTACAGATTAGCAGTTCTCAAACTTTTTGGTCCAGGACTCTTTTCTACTTTAACAGTGACTGAGGGCCTGCCAAAGAGCTTTTGTTTATGTGGGTTACATCTACTAATATTACCACATTAGAAAAGAAAATATGCTAGTATTATTATGAAAATAGTTTTGACCTCCAGAGCCCTTGAAAGGCTTTCAGGGGACCCTAAGTGGTCCCTGGACCATACTTTGAGATGGCATAGGCAGATAATAAACACCCTAATTTGTCAACAGAGTTCTTGTTGGTACTGACACTCAAGGGTTCTTGGCACAGCTTAGGTTGTGGGATATGTAGTGATCCTCAAATACCTGTATTACCAGCCTTGACCTGCTGAGATTTCTCTGGATTTCAGGGCAGATTCCTGACTATCCTTTCGTTACCTTTGGAGGACCTAAGCCCTCCTGGAGTCAGTCAGTCGTATAGTTCTGAGGCTAGAAGGGAGAAGAACTCCAACTGCTGGCTTCTCTGGAATCCCCATAACAATTCAATTATTGAATTTGTTATTTTTCTTCTCAATTACGTGAACTTCCATTTTCATTTATACTCGGATGGAATAAATGGCCAGAGAAAGTTCAGAAAATCATCAAAAATGATGACATAGATATAACTACAGGTAAATTTTATTTTGAAAATAAAATACAAGCAATCATATAACACCCAGTAAGACCATTCAATAAATGATGGTCCTCTTCATTCCTATTGGGCATGCTACTATAAACTTACCCTGTTGGCATCCACATGGTGCAGTCTGAAAGATTCTCCTGTGCTCTCATTCACCAAATCAAACTGATGCCGATATGCCACACAAATCAGATTGTCGTTCTCTTCAGTTGGCCCATCCACCAAGGTCATCACCACAGGGGGGTCAGACAAACAGATCTCCTGGGCCACCAATGAAGATAAGTTACAAAATGGTCAGGATAGAGGGAAGCTGTCCTGTTACTCTCTCTCATAAGTATGCCATCCTCCCAAGGCTCTTTTATAACACTGGGATTGCAAAGAAAATGGTGATATCTCTAAGTGGTCAGTGACTTTATTAAATCCCCATGTTTCTATAACCTGTTCTCAGGATGCTATCTCAGGATGTACCCAAAGGGTGCAGATATTATGGATTTTATAAAATTGATTCAATGTAAAACTGCCATGCCTCATCTCCAGCTAATTTGAAACTGTCCTAATTTGCTCACTAGCATAACTTTGTATAGTAAATGCAAAAGGCTCTAACTTTAGCTAAGCATAAATAAGATAAATTGATTCTTGTACCAATTAATGATGTCTTCAATTCCAGTGTTCATGGTTTCAACTTCTACACAATTTAATACCACCTAATTTTTAAAGTAGGAGTGGAAAGAGGATCTCAAGAACTAAAAAGAATGGGCATATTTAAGGCAATGTGGAATAGTGGGAAAAGCCCTGGGATAGGAGTCAAGAGACTTGGGTCTATTCCAGGGGTGAGGAACCTGGGGTCTTCAGGCTACACGTGGCCTTTTGACTGAGTCCAAGTTTACAGAACAAATCCTTTTATTAAGAGGATTTGTTCTGTGAAGTTTGGATTCAATTAAAGAGCCACACTTGAAGCCTAGAGGGCCACATGTGGCCTTGAAGGTGCAGGCTCCCCACCTCTGGACTGTGTTCTAAGCTCCGTGACACTTAGCAAGCCAGAAAACTTTTAACCTGGGATCTTAGAAGTTATCTAAACCAACCTCACACCTAGGCAGGCTTCCTTCTACAGCACTGGTATCAAATGCCAATAGAAATGGCGGCCGCTAAGTCATACACAAGGATCCCTGAGGGCAGCAGATTGACTTAGAAAACCACATATCAACATTATTTATGTTCTGCTGTATTTTCATTTCTTTTGTTAAATACTTTCCAATGACATTTTAATCGGGTTCAGGTCACACTCAGTAGTCCCTGTGTTTTGACACTTCTGCTCTATAGTGTCCCCCCCCATTTACAAATAGAGATACTGGAGTACAAAACAAAGAGCACTGGCCTAGGTCTCAAAACCTACTTCTGTCACTAACTTGAAGCCTGATCCTGGACCTGTTTCCTCACCTGCAACATGGGAAAGTTGGACAAGATGAGATTTCAGATTCCTTCTAGCTTTCATGTTCTATAGTTCTTTCTGTATGAAATGTTTCTGAAAGCTTGAAGGAGAATGAGATAAGGCTCTAGTCCTTCAGGAGGTTAAGATGTCATGAGGGAAACACTGCTTTCCATGGATCCCGTAGGGGTGTCTAGAGTATCAGGGGAGTTGGTTTTCCCACTTTGTTCTCTATAACTAAGAATGATCCCTGAACCAGGTTTTGTTGGGTAAAAGGAAATGGTCTCCACTATCCAGGGTATGACACAGATAGCCTAAATCAAGGTAAAATTTGTTTAAAAAAAAAAAAAGAAGACAAACCCTGATGTATTGGAATTCTTCAACAGGTGATTCTGACAACGAGCATAACAGTGGGAGCCTGGTTAAACCACTGTGCTTATTGTGTTTCCTTGTGATAAGAAGTAGCTTGTTGCGAATTGCAACAATAATCCTCAGTTCGCTGCTGTGATGAGTGAGTGTTAATGGCATACAAATGGCAACCTGTAGAGATAAATAAATTGCAATGAAACCCAAAATTATATTTTATAAGAAATTTTCAGATTCTTGTGAGAAAAGAATTTTCTTGTAACTCTCCCACAAGTTATGAGCAAATCAGTTTTGTTCATTAATGTGACCATTGCTTTATAAGCTAAGCTTGAAAAAATTTCCTCGCTTTATATTTCCACTGCAACCACTAAAGATATTTAGTGCTTTTCTTCCAAACTCTTGCTAGAAGAACAGATTCTTCTCACCAGATATTTTCTACTGCCCCCAACATGTTCTTCTAGTTTTTCTGTTTTTTGGGGGTTTTTTGATGCAAAAATCTGGTCACATCACTCTGTTGCTCAAAAATATTTTGTGCTTCCCTATTGCCTAATGCTCAAATTCCTTGCGGAGATTCAAAGTTATTCAAGGCTATCCACAACATGGCATCACCCTCCTTTTCCAGCCTTTTATCATTCTCTTCCATGCATCCACGCACTATATTTCAGTCAAAAAATACTGCTTTAGTCCCACTAGACATACTTGATGCTTTCTTACCTCCTTGATATTCCTCCTACTGCTCTCTAGGCCTTAAATATCCTCCTTTCTCTTCATTTGAATTCCTAACCATTCTTTAAAATGCTGCTTCCTACATGAAGCCTTCTCTGCTTGCTACAACTGGTAACAACTTTCCCCCTTGGACCTCAGGCAGTATCTTGTTTCAAAACACTGTGGTGCATTTATCATGTGATATTATGTATTATTGTGTCTTATCCTCCACTGGGCAATAAATCACACGGAGGAAGGGACCTTATCTTATCTAAACATTATATTTCTACCACCTCCAGCAATGTACTACACACAGATGGCACTTAATGTTTGCTTAATTAATAACTAAATACCGAATGCGACACCACTCTAGTGCAGGCCCTTATCACCTCCCACCTGGCCTAATTACAAGACCCTGCTGCCTGCCTCACAGCTCTTCCCATTGCAATCCATTCTCCATTCAGCCACTGAAATAATTTTCCTAAAATGCAAGTCCAATCATATTACCCTTCCCCTCCCAATTCAGTAAACTCCTGTGGCACCTTATTGCCTACAAGATCAAATACAAAACGCTCTGTTTGGCATCAAAGCCCTTCATAACCCATCCCCCTCCTATCTTTTCAGTCTTTTCAAACCTTGTTCCCCAACACACACTGTTTGATCCGGTAACACTACACAAACAAACAAGACACTCCATCTCTCAGCTCCCGGCTCTTTCTCTGGCTGTCCTGCATGTCTGCAACACTCTCCCTTCTCCACTCTGACTACTGACCTCCCTGACTTCCTTTAAGTCCCAACTAAAAGCCCATCATTTACAGGATGCCTTCCTCAACCCCTCTTAATTCCAGTGCTTTTCCTGTTTTAATTAGTTCTTATTTATCTTATATACATATTTTTTATTTGTGTTATTTATCTTATACACATATACATATACATTATATATATACATACATATACATTTGTTTGCATGTTGCCTCCCCCATGAGACTGTAAGCAGTGCATGGGCTTTCTTCTGCCTCTTTTTGTATCCCTCGTGCTTAGCACAGTACCTGGCACATAGCAGGTGCTTAGTAAATGTTTATCAAATTGAACTGAATTTTTGTTGCACGAAGATAAAAATAAATAAAGTCCAAGATGTTAGTCACTTTCATTTTATATAGAACTTACACTGGTGGAAAAATCAACAAAAAGAAATAAGCCACTACTTAAAAACAACAGTAAGAACCAAGTCACCTTTTGTTTTCTCAAGTTTATTTTCTCTACAGTCATACTTGCTCTTCACTATCTGCTTTCCTTCCACGTCCTTCCTCACAGTGCTTAGCCTGAAGACAAAGAGTCGAGCATCTTTCCCTGTGAAGAGAATAAAGGTGAAGGTACTTAAAATATAAACAATAAGATAATAACTGCAATGTTTCCCCAAATCAATGAACCTTCTGACTAAATACCTGAATGAAGAAACTTTCACATTTGTACCTAAGTGTAAAGGAAAACTATGTGACTTAAGAGGAATCCTGCTGAGAAATTCTGGAAGTCTCTCCAACCCCTTCATTTTGCAGATTGTACAAGACTGACTAGCGGGAAGAGCCAATTCTTGAACCCAGGTCTCCTGGCTTTAAACCTAGGGCTATCTCCACTGTATTATGCTGCCTTTTCTCTGATGATTACACGCTTGCCAAGGAAAGTTCTGATTTTTTTTAAGAGAAGAAGGGGACAATCTTTGGTGTAGATGATAACATAAGCTTTTTAAAGATAGGCACTGTTTGACTTTGTTTTTGTCTCTTTGTCCAGTATCTTGAACATAACAGGAATTTAATAAATGTTTACTGAATCAAACTCTAGATTTATGAAGATGTCAGTTTGCTCTTCACTAAAATCAGCTATTGTCAGGAATTTATCACTTCAAATGACAAAATCACACATTAAATGCACAGAGAAAACCACAAATTAAATAATGGAGAAACAACCAAAAGACAGATCCCACATGAGAACAAAGCTATTGTAAAATCATATGCAGTAATAAAAACAGGAAATTGTTGAGGCTCTTGGAAAACGCTTAATTAAATCTAATTCATCTTTACAATAGATATGGCTCCATCTTTCCCTTCTTGGACTAACCCATCTCTCATTTCAAAATAATATCTAAGGCCTACGCTATGTTTCTGTGCCCATGGTGCATTCCGTGGTTAAACATAAAGACAGGCATGCCAGTTGGGATGCTGGCTTCTGCCCATCCTGTCTTAATAGTTCTCTATTATGAGATATTATCCATAGTCCTCTTAAAAATCTTTGAGATACAGCCTTGGGAGATGAGCTGCAATACTGATTGCGGGAATTGCTGTACTCTTACCATTAAATACTCATAATATAATGATGTCATCTGTCCCCCTGTAACTTACACCCACTGTCATACTCTTCTCTCTGTGCCTTTATTCATGCCATCTGTAGTGGCCTACTCAACCCCACCTAGATTCAGTCTTTAAGTTTTGTCTTTTCTTCATCAAATCAGAGGCTATCTCCTTCATGAAGGCTAACCCTCATCCTCTACATAAAAGTGATTTCTTGAATTTTTAATAGTTCCTTGCTGGATCTACCTGTTATCCTATAATTCAATTCCCTTGTGTTATAGTTATTTCTGTACATATCTTTTGCTCCATTACAGTATATGCTTCTTGGAAACAAGGCCTGTGTCACATCTATTTTAGCATCTCCAGTTCGTATGACTGTGCCTTGTACATGGTAGGCACTTAACAGATGCGTTATGACCTGGACACAGGACAGTAAGACGGACACCTCCTATGTTTTAGACATTATACTTCTGTTAACAAAGCCTAAGATTACACTGTCTGTTTCAACTTCCAGGTAATGTGGTTCACTGCAACGAGCTTACCATCTATTAGACCTTCAAGTATTTTTCACACCAACTACTATCTTGCTGCTTTCCCTCATCCCATACTTTAATGGAACTGATTTTTTGAACCTAAGTATACACTGATGGTACTTAGCTACAGATACTGAATAACTGAGAACATACTTTCAACTATCACATTATACTTCTAACACATCACACTGAGACATAGATGGCAAAAGTGCTAGGCTTGAAGTCAGAAGGAATTGTTTTCAAATCCTGCCTCTGATACATTAATGTATGACCAGGGTCACTGAAAGTACTTTGAACTTGTTTCCTCATCTGAAAAATGGTGACAATACCTGCATAAAGTTGTTTTGGTTTTCAAATGAGATGGTATTGTAAAGTGCTTTGCAAACTTTAATGTATGATGTATAAATATGCCAGCTAGCATTACTGTTATTATTAGCCCTACTTGTTAATTTTTTCAAAAATACTTTGTACTTAGAAAACACTTATGACTTCACCCTAAGAAATGCCAACAATTTAAACTTAGTCTTAATGATCTCTAATGTTATTTTTTCTAATATTTCACAAATCACTGAAGACATATATATGTGTGTGTGTGCATATGTGTGTGTGTGTATGTGCTCACACACACACAGATTAATATCATCCCTAGTTTATAGATAAGGAAACTAAGATAAGAAGAGACAATGGTCAGTGAGATAATGTTACATTAGAGCGCTAAACTGTTTTCCTGAATAAATCAAATCTAAATTAAATAATTTTCTAGAATAAACCAATGTCTTCTACATACAAAACTGTTCCTTTACCTTTTCTCTTTTTCATGGTGTGATAAGATTTGGAGCTAGAAGGGACCTCAGAGATCTTGTATAAATCCCTTTATTTTAAAATTGTAACTTATTTTTTCAATTAACAAAAATCTATTTTTCTCTTCCTTCTACCTTTCCCAATCTTTTTTTTTTAAATACAGGAAAACAAAAACTATTGTAACAAATAAGAATAGTCAAGCAAAAAAATTCCCATATCTAAAAAATATCTCATTCTGCACCTTGAGTCTAAAAGCTCTGTTAGGATGTGGGTAGGCATGCTTCATCATTGCTACTTGGAATCAAGGTCTTGATCAGAATTCTTGAGCCTTTCAAAGTTGTTTGTCTTCACAATGTTACTGTTTTCTTGGTTCTGCTCACTTCACTCTCCATCAGTTCATACAAGCCTTCTCAGGTTTCTCTGAAACTGTTCCTTTCATTATTGCTTGCAGCACAACAGTGTTCTATATTCATATACCATTCATATACTATACTTTATTTTGCCATTCCCCAATTGATGAGTAGCCTGTTAATTTTCAGTTCTTTGCCACCAGAAAAAAAAGCAGCTATAAATATTTTTGTATATGAGACCTGTTGCACTTTCTTTTATTTCTTTGAGATACAGGCCTAGTAATGATATCATGGGGTAAAAGGGTATACACAGTTCAGTGACTTTCTGGGCATAGTTTTAAATTGTTTTCCAAAATGGCTGGACCATTTTCAAAGTTCCACCGGCAGTACATCAACATGCCTATTTTCCCGTAGATCCTTCAACATTTTCATCATTTTCCTTTTTTGTTAAACTTGGCCAATCTGATGGATGTAAGGTAGATCATCAGAGTTGCTTTAATTTGCATTTCTCTAATTATTAGTAATCTGGAACAATTGTAATATGGCTAGAGATAGCTTAGATTTCTTTCTTAGAAAACTGGCTATTTATATCCTTCAACTACTTAACAAGTTATTTTCATAATTTTGAATCAGTTCCCAATATATCATGGAAATGAGGTCCTTATCAGAGAAACTTCCTGCAAAGATTCTCCCCCCACCCTAGTTACCTTCTTCCCTTCTAATTTCAACTGCACAGATTTGTGTGTGTGTGTGTGTGTGTGTGTGTGTGTGTGTGTGTGTGTGTGTGCGTAGAAAAACTTTAATTTTATATAATCAAAACTGTCAATTTTATCTTCTGTGATCTTTCTCTATCTCTGTCTGGTGATGAACTGTTTCTCTATTTGTAGAGCTGAAAGATAATTTCCTCCTTCATTCTCTAATTTGTTTATGATATCACCCTCTATGTCTGAGTCACAAATCCATTTGGAGCTTATTGTGGTATATGGCAGGAGATGTTGGTATATCCCTAACTTCTCCCAGTGTTCTCTGGTTTTCTCAGCAGCTCTTTTTTGAATACTGAGTCCTTGCCCTGGTTGTTGGGGGTCTTTGTATTTATAAAACTCTAAGAAAATGTTTGTATGCTGCTCTATATTATGTACCTAATCTTTTCCATTGGTTTATCTCTCTACTTCTTAAGTAGTATAAAACAATTTTGATGTTTACTGCTTTGCAGTTTGAGATCTGGCACTGCTAGGCCCTGTTCCTTTCTGCTTTTTTACATAATTTCCCTTAATACAGAGATTAATTCTCAGTTTTCTCATTTCAAATCCAGTGCTATATACTCCTCTCTTGGACTATGGGACAGTGGACAGCAGGACTCTGATATCAGTGGAAAATTACCTTTCCTAATCAACCCCTGCAATTTGGTGCTGCACCAGGATCCCTGGGACACGTGATATTTTTGTTCCTCAGCTTTCTTCTTATGTGTTATTTTCCACTGAATGAAATGAACCCTCAGTGAGGTTTTTACTTCCCTTTATATTTCTAAGCCCCAATTCAAATGGCTATGAATGTATGACAACAACAAATAACATTGCATCTTTAACTTCCAATTGGCTGGCAGCAAAGCAGTGGGCTTGCATTCCAATACAAATAATTTATTTTGGACAAGTAGTTATACACAATTTCTTTATGAAAATTTTTGCATTTACATGTTTCATTCCAATTTCCTCTTCTCTGAAAGGGTAAGCATAATTTCAATGTCTATTACATATTTGACCTAGTTATTATAATTCCTCTAGTAAAGTCCTGCTTCATCACATCATTGTGGCATGCAGGTAACCCTGGATTCTTGAAAGCTATATCCATTGACTAAAAGCTGTGGCAGGTGCTACCAACTAGAAATATCCAAAGATGGTCAATTGCCTTAGTACTACTAATTTAAATTTGGAGAGGCTCATCACCAGAAGAATGGCCACAACCAACTCACAAAAACTACTTACCAAGGTGTTAGGGGGTTGAGATGTGGGTTGGTGGGGGGAGTATCTACACCAATGATATCATGGATCCTTTAAGTATTATAATTTTATTATTCATAATAGAACCATCTTCATCATAATGCCTTATATTTGTATAGCATGTTATAGTTTTCAAAGTACTTTCACATATCAATGTTGGCTCATTTGTTCCTCATCACAACCATGAAAGTTATAAAAGCAATTATCATTATTTCCATTTCATAAGTGAGGGGAAGAGGAAGAGAACAAGCATTTAGTGCCTACATGTGCCAGGCACCATACTAAGTGCCTTTTATAAATATTATCTCATTTGATCCTCACAAC